ATATATGTGTATATATATATATATATATATATATATATATATATAAAAGCTAATATATAAATATAATAAATTAAACGTCTATGATTATACTCTGTAACATTTTCCAAAAGTACATCTTAATCTTAAAATTTTTCTATATTATTTTTCACTTTATTTTGAATCGATTTGTAATATTTTTGACATTTAAATGTCGAATTACAATAGCATCAACATTTTCACGCAATCATTCTTTAATAGAAAAAATGAAAATCATATAAGGTACAAAAAAAAAAAAGAATAATTAAGTACATGCGAAGAGCATCGATATAGAAACAGTATCACGAAACAGTTACTTTCATAGTTTTCTTATTAACTGCGACGCGAGCTTATTAATGCGCCTTGTTAGTTACGCGTGTAATTATACACGCGCACAAGAGCGGCGCGTGCGTGGACATACGTTGGACTTTATGCGTGGTAGGCGCCAAAAGATAGCAAGGCAGGCGCCTTCTTAACTGTGGGAAAGAAGCGCCGGCGTCTGGAGAGTCCTGCGGAGGCGCCGTGTGAGCGTCCTCACCAATTTTTTTAACTTTTCTTTATTTTTAATTTGATTACAGATAATAATATTTTCTGGCAAAATGAGCAATGAGTATTCTCGGAAATATAGATATCATATGTATGTATATATATATATACATAAGATCATTATTTGGTATGTTAAATACCTTAATTATATAATAATTATTAATTAATCATTTTTAATAACAATATTGATCTCTCATCTAAAAATCTACCCCGGAAATTTTTTGTAAAATATAAAATTTCAGTTTACGTCAAACATAATTATTTATCTATATGATATTTTGAAAATTTGTTAATTATATAATAAAATTTAATTATTATAAAGATTATAAGATTTACCCCTTTTGTAAGTGTAAGTTTTCGAGTTAAAGTTATTCAATATTGAAATAAGCAGAATCGATGCATTTTAATCGCTCGCACGCTAAACTGAGGTTGTGAAAAGAGATCTTAACATAATGTGGTGTCCAGTTGCAAGACGGGTCCGTCCGTGTTGCCGCATAAATGGACCCTTTGTGCTGTCGTCTCACATCTAAATAGCCGCATGCAGCCTCGGATGCCCTATCCGTGTATAGTTTATAGAAAAATCTCGCACGGTGGCATGTATTGGCCAAGCACGTGGGGGGGTCCCATGCCGCCCATGGCGACTCGTCTGCATTTTCGGAATCTGCTTTTCTTCTTGTCACTATCGATGATTGTTATGTATTACTAAATAATACCAGACGGGTACCGTATTACCGGACCGGAAGGAAGTCTTACAGGTGGGATTTTTGAAAAGAGCTAGTGTGGTTACGATTCGTTACACAGAAGGAAAAATTTTGGATTGTGTCGATAATGCAATCATTGTAATTTTCCCTTTTTCCCAGATTTTCTATATACATAATAATATAATTAGAATATTACTTTATCAAACATTTGATTAATATCGATGAATTAAATTGGATTTCTTGATCTGGCTTATAGGGATAATAATATAAAATAAATAAAATAAAATAAAAACTTTTTAAGTTTTAAGTAAGAACTTCATTGAGTGCAGAATTAATCGATTTCAAATTTGATTATCGATTTATTAAGAAGGAGAGAATCTTGGAACGAGTTACGTTGCCGGCTAAGTTCGGTAATTTAATGATAATAATTTAATGAGAATAATTTAATGATGATGGTGATTCGCGATATTAGCATTTGCCTTGAATTTATATAATTAATTCAACGAATTAATTCAAGAAAAAATATTATTCGACTAAGATTCTGTCTGCCGATTAATGTCATTTATGATTTAATTGTTTAAAAACTTTAAATAATTGATTAATTTTCCACTAGGAAATATAACTTTTTGTAATAAATTGATTTGTTTCTCTGCGATATGATAATAATAATATATAAAAATTTTCTAGCTATATTAAAATTTATATATTTTTTTAATCGTAACAACATTAAGTGTAATAACGAATTATTTTAATATATTAATTTAAATTAATTATATCGTTAATATATTTTAGGCGCATTTAAGAAAGGTCTGTAAATGAAATGTAACATGTATATTCACGACTTCAAAGATAAAAACAAAGATAAATAAAATCACACTGAACGAATAGAAAACGTAGTTAATAGTGTAATGGTATTTCGCGTGTGAGGAAAAGGAAACGCTGATAGATACATAAAAGTAGATAAATCTGGAAAGAAATCGGGAAGATACATAAAATAGTAAAAATCTGGAAAATGTTTAATGTTGTCTGCATATCCAAGCTTGCAGACTTGCAGGACTGCAGACGGAGGATGCTTCCTATTATGCTTGAAGAGGTCAACTCATCTGTATATATTTCTCGCTCAGGCCTATCGAACGAGACTTTTGTCGCTTTCTAGTAAGTGGTCCAGACAATTGCGAGTATCTGGATGTCTAGACGGCGGAATTGTTTCACGTTTTCTGTTCGAACAGAAATCACATTAATTTGAGTTTCTTCCATTGCTTAGCTACATCCGACGATTGCCGACGGAGAGCGTTTACAGAGAATAAATCTTTTTTACTTTTTTTACAGCGATCATCTTTTTGTAATTGTTCACTGTTATTTCCACCACCTGAAACGTCATTCAATAAGTATTTTTTATTTGACCGTTAATTATAAAGTCTTCCATTATCCCAATCCAATTCAAGCAGAGAAATACGCGGTGGTATATTTTAACAATGCATTAACTTAAAATCTATGGTATAACGTCAAATCCACTCATATTTAAAAAAAAATCATATAATAAGCAGCAGGAAAAATTATCATTGAAGGAAGAATTATTATTAAATTTATTCGACTTTATCGAATTTTTTTGTAGAATGAGTTATGAGGTATGTTGAATTAATTTTATAAATTTTATTTTTAATTTGTAATAAGTGTGTAATGAATTTTACGACGATCCGAAAGTATGTTCGCTAAGAAAAAAATGTCAGTTTATTACACTGCGCATCGCTTCCAGGAAAGACAACGATGATTAATCGATGGAGAACGAGAGAGAAACGTATTGCGCAAATGATCGTTTAATCGTGGCTTTTAGAAACACGACTCACAGCATATTTTGATTGGTTGGATTCGTCTCATATAGGCGGGTCTTTCGTACTCTCCTCCGCCTTGCGTTACTGGCGGCTATGGCTGTCCTGAACAACGCAAAAAGATATTTTGCCGTCTTCTCAATTATTCAGACACTTCCGATATCAATATTTATTGTACGTCACAGTCGTTGCTCTCATTCAGTTGTGCTTTTTTCTGCAATCTCTGGAATTAAAGGTCGAAAGTTTTTTTTAACAGATCAATTAAAGTTGATTCATAGATGCTCGTATTATTATTTGGCTTTAGGATATTTAGCCACTTTGTATAAAATAAAAAATAAAATTCTTATTTATATACACAAAAAAATTAGTTTTATCAAGATTATATATTCTCATATATAAGCAAGAATATTATCTTCTTAGGAAAATTTTAACCTTAATTTGATTAAATTTATATTGATGTAAATATAGAATATACTCCTCATTTATAAAAGAGTTTTAGTCTTAAACTGAGCAAAAGCAATACTTGCATCAAATTCAACTAAATTAAGACTAAAATTAAGACTAAAATTTTTAAGAAGATTATAAATACTCTTGCTTATATATAAGAATATTTCTCTTTAATTTTTTTTTTCTGTATATTCCGCAATTTACAATTTTGACGATAAACTGAAAAGCCTCTTAAGTAAATTTTTGAAATTTACTTATTTGAAATTTTACTAATACTAAAATGATTTGGACTAAATTATTTTAAATTACTAAAAGTTTATGATAAATAAAATGCCACATAAACTTTCACAGTAATAGTTCTTATTATCTCAAATAAATTACATAAAACCCACATAATTATATATACAAAATTTATTATACGTATAGAAATTATTTAAAGAAATATTATTTTCTAATATTACTTTAAAATATCGTTACAATAATTTAAAAGTAACTATTCAAGATTATTGAAAAAGTGAAAATAATCCGTGAATTTTCAATATATGAAGTTATCATTGAAAAGTGTACGCGATCGTAGTAGTGAAAATCTTGAGTACATCAACGCCACCCTCACACTCACATCAGTGTATCGCCATGACGTTCCTGTGCGACGGGACCAACACTTGACTCCCTTGCAAGACCAAGTCACATTATACGTCTGCCCTCCGACTCGACCACTCAACCGTGACCATCCCTCGAAATAGAGATAGTTTAGTGCATCGATAAGCGACTGTTCGATAATTTCGCCAATTTTGCAAATGCTTGCATATATCATTGGACACAGTGATGTGTTTGTTTTGTCATGTGTTGGTATCAAATTTTGATAGTTCAACTATCAAATTTTGATAGTTGATAAAATCACGAAGGAACTGTTAAGACTTTCACGTGTGACATGTGGAAACTCCTTCACGATCTCATAACTGAAATTTGACAGCACGCAACACGTGAACGCATTACAAAATTCCGCGCATGAATTTAAAATTCTTCATATATATATGTATAATAAAATTTAAGAAAGTTGCCAAAATCATGAGAGATAAATTTATTTATTAAATATTTATTAAATTCATATTTGAAGAATTGACTATTAAACGTAACAAAACAACTGACTCGAGACTATCGTGATGATGTAGCGAGTTTCAAAACTCTGCAAAGTAAAACTGCAATTGCTAAATTTTGTTGATGAGTTTTGTTGAGTTGGAAAAATGAAACTCATTTAAGGAGAGATGTGTAACGTGACGGATTGTTTTTTTTTTTTTTTTTTTTTTGTATGTGAGATTTGACGCATTAGAGTGATTCGATCGAGGATGCTTTAGAATGTTGTCCTCTTCGGTGTCAACTCCGTTCAGCGTTCGTGATATTCTCAGCGAAGATCAACAGCTTGGCGTCATGGATTGTTACACGCATCATCAAAATCAAGCTCAACAACATGTGCATCAAGATTATTATTCGTACAATGTTGTGCCTGAAAACAATTGGGAAATGGACAAATTTAAGGATCAACCGATGCCCAGCTATCAACATTATCCGGATCTCAATCATGTTCACCAGTTGAGCCAGGTGGTACCGCCATATCAAGAAACATCTATCACTGAAGATGGTAAGTATAAAAAATTTTACTACAAAAATTTAATTTAAAGTTTAGTCATTTTTTATAAAATAATTATTCCATAACAATTTTTTAATTTAGAATTATATATTATATATTTTATCTCTCACTCTTTTATTCTAGTGGTTTTAATCAAATAGGATATAATCATGATAAACAATAAAAAATGATGATTTGTAATGAAAATTTTTTTATATTGAGTTTCTCACGAATTATTATAGATTACATGAATTGTTATAAATATTATATAATATCTATATATAATTTGTGAGAAACAAACATTATATCACAGAATACATTTTATGAGAAAAATAAAAATAATTTTTTGCATTTTAGAAGCTATATATTATATTACACATCAATTTCAAAATCATTTTTGTGATATATATTATGCTAGAATTACTTTTTATACATTTTTATAATTTTTAGTATCATTAATAAAAATTATTAAAGATAAATTTTTTAATAAAAATACTTATATAATAAATTATTTTTAGGTAACATTGTTACGTCCAGTAAAACGGAACTGCGCAAAAGTCAATCTGGTAAAAGAACGAAGCGGAAGCCAAGAGTGTTATTCTCGCAAGTAAGTTCGATTCTCTCTGCATTACAATAAATAATTATTACATTTGAGCCATTTATTTGAGCAAGTTATATAATACGATAACTTTATTTTACAATCTTAATTCTAAAATTTAAAATTATTTTTTGTAAAATATCATAAATATTATGCAGAAAATAGTAAGTAATAAAAGGTGCAGACCAAGTTAAATTATAAATTATTTTGTAGACACAGGTTTATGAACTGGAACAGCGATTCAAACAGCAGAGATATCTAAGCGCACCTGAGAGAGAAATGTTGGCCCAGACTCTGAAGTTAACCAGCACTCAAGTGAAGATTTGGTTCCAAAACCGACGGTACAAGAATAAACGCGCCCGGCTCGAGGACGCCGAAAAGTTGCAGGCGCAGAACATGAAAAATCAACCCTTGAAGAAGATCGCCGTACCGATCCTGATCAAGGATGGTAAACCCAACGTACAGGAAACGTCTTACAACGCATCTTATTGGCCAAATATCCGAACAGATCTAAGCGCCCCGATGCAGACGGATTTTAGGACGAATGACATCCGTCTTAGTCCCGATTTCAGGCCCAATTCGAGCGAGGTGAGAATTGATTCCAATATTAGCCCGGAATACAAGCCAGAGGTAAATTCGGACATACCTGGAAGATCAAGCCTGAATGATATGACGGACAGACAGCACATTCCGGAATACAGGAGCAATTTCGTAACGGAAACTTCATCGAATGTGCACGATTGCGGTCGATTAATTAAAACAGAATTCAAAACATGCGCGAGTAATAGCGAGGTTATATCGTATCCGGATCTGAAAAATATTCAGTCCGACAGCAAACATCAGCTTATGGCTGACAGGCGGATGTCAATGGACGTCTCTAATGGTGAATATGGATTTTCGAATTATCTTGCGCCCACTAATTATCAAATGCAATACGTGAATTACATGGAGCAGGTACCTATGGATCAAAACTTGCAGCGATTATGGTAAATCACTTGGGAGAGAATTATTTGTCAAGAAAGTCTGAGTAATTAAACTTATGACTTCTACTTTCAGATCTACAGTGACTTAATAAAAATAACTTAGATTTAAGCAACTAATTAGGTTATCACTTGAATTAATTAAAGTAATCTATTAAATTATATGTTGCTAAGGAGAATTCCTCATTTACAATAAAATATAATAAATATTTAGACTTATCAATCCAATTATCAATATCGATCGGTAATTAATTTAGAGTTGGTACGATGATAATTGATAAAAAGTAATTTAACCTTCGAAATTGCATTATTTTATGTTATGTATATGATGTTTTTTATGCATATAACATAATAAAAATGAGAAATACTCATCAATCATCCTTTGCACATATTTATATAAAAAAATTAAGAAATGTTGAATTATTATGTTAACATGTCGATGTTAGATCAAATCTGTACGTCATGGTAAAAAAAAAACGGTCAATATTGACGAAAGAGATGATACACCAAAGTAATTAACCAAAGATGTATTCTTTAATTGTTATACATAAGTGATTAATGCTAAGAAATATGCGATGTAGAAAATAAGCTTATGATATTGGCAGCTGTTTTTTAGTTGGCTAAGATTTTCTGTTTGAAATAGTAACGCGCCGTACAAGAGAGCGGAAATTGGCCTTCAAGTGGCCTTTGCGGAAACATCGAGCACTTTTCCACGTACATTATATGCCTCGAAAAGTTTTTTCCTCCGGTTTTCAAGTGCAGACGCTAGTTGTGCAATAAATTAATATCGTTCAGATGACATTTTGGCTGCATAGAAACGGAAGCGTGTTATATTGTCATCAGGTTACGAGAGATGTTCAGTTTTTTTTTATTAAACGTATACGTATAAGTATGAGAGTGTTCCATTTTTCCTATATTTATATTTAGAGAATAATTCCAATTTAACTCAAAAATTTTACATTTAACATGTGATAATTTTACAATAAGATAATATTTGATTTCTTTATAAATATAATTTATATAAGGTTTCTAGAAGAGAAAAAGTTTTGAATGTGTTTAATGGCAAATTAAATTTTTATCTTGAAATTGATGAAACCAGATTTTTATGTTAAACAAAAAATATTTTATGTGTATGAAGAATGACTTAGAATTAACGTTAAATAATTACAAAACTATAACAAAAGTACATATGTATAACAAAAGAAAATTATGATTTCAAATGACTTAATGTTTATTAAATCTCAGACTTGAACATTGCAGTATATATTAATTGCAACTTCAATATTTCCATTTTGTAATTTGATGTTTTATTTTATTTTATTTTATTTTCTGTTATATATTATTATGTTATCAATACAAGAAATCAAATACATATTACTTATATGATACATTTGTCACTAAAAACGCACATTCGCACGAATGCCCGAATATATTTTGATCGATGTCGATTTCCATTGAATTAAATTCGATCCAGATGCCTCTTGTAAGTTCGCGGTTCGATACAGAAATATGGCGAAATGGCATTTATAAATAGGTGAGTTCTGACAGCTTGAGCGAAGCCATGGGCCGCCTTTTGGGTTATCGCGCGAACACGACGGGTCATCTGGCAGTCAAGTGCTGCCCACATAGACGATTTACATCAGTGTAATCGCGTTCATGGTGCTACTGGTGCCATAAAGGGCCATGGGAACAAGCTGATAAAAATGTCACTGTTAATTTTATAAGAACTTACGTGGCCATATTGCATCTGCCTGATCGAAAGCCAACTTGCACCGCGCTTCCGTCTCAGAGATGCACCTGACTAACATCTGCTATAGATCTCATACTTTGAGAGATAAGTCGATCCTCATATAATTATCTCATCATTACACGAGTATCATTATTGATATGAGAGAAATAAAAGGTTTGCGTATAAATGAGATGAAGACTTTGATGAAATCTAAAGTGGAAACAGGCAGATTTCTTCTCTAATGAATCACGTAATTCTCATGTCACTGTCGTGATTAATCTTTGGAAATTAAATTGAATTAATTCTTTCGATCGTCAAATATGTCTCTCGCGTTTCTCACACTTATAACGTCGATGCACATCGATGCATCACTCCACATGCACGTGTATATCAATGTCCTATGATCAACGCGGTTCCATTACGATATCATATATTCAGATAATCAATCACGAAACGCTCAACATAGAAATTCGATCCTATTTGCTTGTAAGCCAAAGGGGAACCGCGATGAACATTTGTGCGAGGCCTCCCCTCCCCCCCCCTCCTCCGTCCCAAGAGAGAAAGCACGCGACGCTGTGTAAATAGACAAGCATATGCATAAAAGGGCCAATGTCCACAAATCAAACGACTTTAGTTGTAAACGAGGAGTTTTTTGCATGCGGATCATTAATCATCCCTTAATCAAAAAAAATGAAAAAGAAAGTAGAGCCCTACTTGTTGCATTTTGTGTATTGATAAAATAAATATATTAATATATTATTGATAAAATTAATATATTAATAAATTAATAAATTAGAATAAAGATGCGTAAAAAATATTAATAAAGTAGATATATAATTTTATATTAAAAATTAAAATTTTATTTTGAATATTACTGATTTATCAATTATAGCAAATTAAAAAATGACAAATGTTTATTTTAAATCTGGTTATACATATATTATTTTTTTCTATAACTTTTTTTATTTATTTATGTATATCAAAAAACTGTTATTAAAGTCACTCAAAATATAATAAAAAATTAGTTAAAAATGCGTTTTTTAATAATAGTCCTTTAATAATAATAATTTATTGAAATAAACAACTTTTATCATCAGGAAGCAAAATACCATTTTTATAACATATTTATATTTATAATTAGAAACGATTTTTTTTTTTAAAAAGTATATGTATTTATTTTCGTAGAGAACTCTGCCTTACCGTCCGTGAAACTGTAACCGTTCGTCGCTTTTGCATCGCTGAGCGATTGAAGATGAAACCGCATCTTTCTCAGGAACTCAAACCTAAATGTCTGATTTACCAGCTTATGAAACGATAACTCTCATAATTAACAACTTTTACCATTGATATGTCCTGCACTCTATATCTTACCGCAGAAAATATTTCCGAAATGTTAAACTGTGTATAATTCTGTATAT